TGAAGAAAATATGTCGGCCTGAAATGAATGATCTCAGCTGATAAGTTCTTGAGCCGATGTACAAGGAGGAAGTACCGATATAAGTTCCATTAATCTCAGAATGCCGAGGTAATAGAACCTAGGGGGAAGTGTGGGAATATATTTTCTGAGTACCAACATTGGTAAGGTGACGCCGATGTGTCAACCGAGATGCCACGTATCCTGGTCATTATGCTGAGGTTATCTCCGAAGATATCGAAATCTGAGATAAACGGATAGGGACAAGAGTCCTAGAATGAAGATGTCACGCCCCCAAACCGCCCCTAGTAGTTTGGTGCCGTGATGGCCAGTAATCCGAGATTACCGAAGGCCGACTTACAAGGATCACACACAATCAGAGTATAAAATATGGGGCTTACAAGTGCGGAAGCAATACATATACATACAGAATCTAAATAGTCCATGAGAGCAGTGCCTAAGTCCACCGAAATGACATACATCTTTATAAAGTCTTACAACTTAAATACAATAAGGAAATGAGATACAAACAACATCTTGGCCAAAAGGCTTCTCAAGCCGACATATACAAGTACAAATGTAAAATAAGCCAAGAAGCATGATCTTCAAGATGGTGCAAAATGCTAATCCAAAACATGTCGGCAAAGCACCCAAAACACATCGCAATCGCGTCTAGGCCTCAATGCCTTCTTGTTATCACCTACATATAATAGAGAGGGTGAGCTTGATACTCAGTGAATGATATTCGAAATAAAGGTTTTGCATGACTGATATCCAAGATCTCTTTCAAAACAATACATAGCATACTTTACAATCAAGAGGGAAATCAAGTTCATTGCCGGCTTTCAAGTTCTTTGGATGTTATTACATCTACTTAATACAAGAGGTGATGACATTCCCAAGACACGAGTGCAGTTGCATTATAGTCCCCTGCAAACTAAGGACTTTCAAGACAAGCCGTGCTGCGAAAGTTTATAGTCCTCTAGCACTAAGGACTGTCAAGACAAGAGTGCAGTTGCATTATAGTCCCCTGCAACTAAGGACTTTTCAAGACAGGCTGTGCTGCGAAAGTTTATAGTCCTCTAGCACTAAGGACTGTCAAGACAAAGAGTGCAGTTGCATTATAGTCCCCTGCAACTAAGGACTTTCAAGAAATGTCATCAAAACAAGATAGTGTTTGATATGCAATTGGGATAGTCATTCATGCTAAATCAAATACTTTTCAAGACAAGGCAAAACAAGATTTATCAAAACAAGCGTAACATAGCTTTATTAGAAATACCACTCACTTAGTTTCTTCACACGTCGGGGTCGAGACAAGCCCAAGTCCTACAAACACATGGCAAAGCCTATTGAATGCACTTTCAAACAAGTTTCGTATGCACACAAATGGTTTCGGAAAACATGCTGGGGCACCAACCAGGTCTGGGCCGAGGTTCCACACCTCCTCGCCGAGGTGTGTTCCCGAAGGCCACATACAAGGAAAAGAGGTCGGGAAACTCTGGGTTTCCCCCTTTGATGAACATGAAAAACATGAGTGTGAAAACATGAAAAATATTGAACGCTCAATCATAATCTGCCATCACACAATCTGGGATTTTCGTGCTATGAGTTTGAAAACATGGACCTGGGTACCCGTACTTTAATCCTTGCGGAAATAAACACAAAATCATGATTCTTTATGCAAGCTTTCAGATCAAAACAAGACTTTCTTGAAAGAACACATGAATGTCATTTTCTCTTTCTAAAATCGAACTTCAAAACGATGCATGGCTTACAAATCATATTCGATCATGCAATGCAACAACATAGAATATAGAGAACATCGTGAGCAGATCAAGAATCTACCTTAGAACACGGATCCACGGTTCGATTTCTAGGAATCACGCTTGAAGATCTACTTCCTCACTCTAAAACTCTTTCTTCCTCCTAGAGCTTCTCTCTCTACAAGCAAGTTTATGATACTAAATGATAGTTTTCTATACCCGGTTCTGGGGTTAACCCTCTGCTGAGACACCTGGGGCGACTGGTTGGGTTCATCCTGAAAAGGTGGCTGACAGGCCAGACAAAGCATGGTGGAGGGTGTTCAACAAGCAAAAGCGGTATGGGCTCTCTGACAGGCACTATGACATCGGCTAACAACAAGGCGTATCTAACAAGCTACACGGAGTGGCACTTCCGGCAAGGGGTGACACGTGCTAACGAAGGACCTCGGCAACTAAGGTGACAATGACCTCGGCTAGGAAGGACAACACTTGACTAAGCTGTGCCACATTCTTGGCCTAGATGCGCCACACCTCGGCCTAGGTCGTACCACTCCAGGACGAGATCGCTTGGGTACAGGGTAACATTTCGGCTAATGTGTCAAGACGAGAACGGAGGTCAACAAGGGTTTCAAGATACTACTACTAGACTAAGGATGACCTCGGCTTGGAATAACATCGGCTAGCATAACTCAGGCAAGGCGTAACCTAAGTTTCACATCAAGGGAGGAACAAGACAAGCCATATCGTATACTACACTTAGACAAATCACAAGGCTTCAAATCAAGACATGGATCGCATTAGCTCAAGCGAAACAAATCACAACATACACATGCAAGCTAAACAAGTCATAATCATACCGATGCTCGTGAACATGATGAGGACATAAAATGTGGGTTCCTACAGAAGAGGAGACAAAGTAAGATGAAGATAAAGCTCTTAGGGAGTTTATCTTTATCTCTTAAGGAGTTCAAAGTAAGTACTGAATTGGAGTCCATGGAAGTTAGGCTTCTAGTGGGACTAGGATTAAGTTAACTATAAAAGAGAGGCACTCCCGTGGGTCTAATGCACGCAATTTTATGCTTGAGCAGTAAGTTTAGCACTTGATTATCTTTGAAAGATATACTGACTTGATCGTCGGAATGCCCGAGTGGAAGAACCACCGCGGAAGCCTTCTCTTTCTGTTACAGGTTAACCGAAGCCATCTATTCTGCCGGTGCTCTCTAACTGATTACTAAATGAGTAATGTAACCAGAAAATCACTCACACACAAACTAAACACACTCTAAATTATTTAAATTAAAGCTACAAGTTAATTTTTTTAGTTTCTTCCCAAATTTGCCCCATAGTTTATCCAATTAAAATAAAATGATCTCACCGTTACTGTCAATTTTTGTTTCACATGAACCTGTACGCTGCAATTAATTGGCTTTACGTGTACGGATGCTGTCAATGCTGTACAGTGTTTCCTCCTGTGCTTAAAACGGCACAGTTTCAACTTCTTTTTTTTTTTTTTTTTTTTTTTTTTTCATATTCTCTCTGTTCCTTTGTTTGCTTTCACTTTTTAAAAAACACCTTTTAAAAAATTTTATTTTTTTATTTTTCGTATTTTTTTATTTTTACTGAATTTTTTTAATATTTTAAGTAATTTTTTTACTTTTTAGACACACTTAACATAAATACATCTAAAAGGTAAAAAAAATTATAAAAAAAATCTTTTAAAAATTCACTAAATACCAAAAATAAAAAAATACAAAAATTCAGTACATTTTTTTATATTTTTATGTATTTATTAATTTTTAAAAATATTTTTTCACAAATTTTTTACTTTTTAGATACATCTAAGTAAGGTGCATCTAATAAAGTAAAAAAAAATGTTTAAAATTTAAAAAATATTCACTAAAAACAAAAAAAACACGAAAATTAAAAAAATCAGTTTTTAAAAAAATTTAATCCAGAAAACTTAAACCAAAACACTATTTTTTGGAGTGATAAATTACATTTTTTTTTAATTTTTTTTATTTAAGGTTTAGGATTCAGGGTTTAATTCTTAAAATTAATTTTTTTAATTTTATTTTAGGGTTTAGGGTTTAATTCTTAAAATTTATTTAATTTGTTTTTTTATTTTAAGGTTTAGGGAATTCTTAAAAAAAAATTATTTTTTTATTTTAAGGTTTAAGGTTTAGGGTTTAGAGTTTAATTCTTTTTTTTATTTTTAATTTTAGGGTTTAGGATTTGGGTTTAATTCTTAATTTTTTTTTATTTTAAGATTTAGGGTTTAAGATTTAATTTTTAAAATGTAATTTTTTTATTTTAGAGTTTAGGGTTTATGGTTTAGGATAATTTATTATGCCAACAAACATAATGAGAACATGAAAAATAAATAAATAAATAAAATAGTGCCGTTTGAAATCACAGCAGGTACGGCAGCACAGTAGAGACCCCGTGTGGCCACAGGGAGCGGGGTCACTGCTGTGCAGTGTTCCTTTCTGTGCCTAAAACAACACAGTTTCAATCTCTTCCCTTCCCTTTTTTTTTTTCTTCATATTCTCACTACGCTTTTTTGGAGTGATAAATTACACTTTATTTTTATTTTTTTTATTTTAAGGTTTAAGGTTTAAAGTTTAATTCTTAAAATTTATTTATTTTTTATTTTAAAATTTAGAATTTAAAGTTTAATTCTTAAAATTTATTTATTTTTATTTTAGAGTTTAGGATTTAATTATTAAAATTTAAAATCGAGATTGACAGAGGGCACGGAAAAGGGCCGTGAAAATGTGCATTTAGCTTCGGAGCTATCAATAGAAACTGTACGCAAAGCCTACCGGCTTGGATTGAGAGATTGTTTGATATCTTTATATTAGCATATTTTTTTATTTTTTTAAGTTATATTATTTTATTATTTATTATATATTTTTTATAAAAAATTTAAAAATATATTTATTTAAGTCAATGGTAATCAACTATTGGAACATTCTTTATCAAATTGAGAAAATGGTCATTTTTTATTCAGATTTAATAAAAAATTAAGTGAACCATTAGAGATGTTCTAAAAAAGTAAAAAAATTAAATGCAACCAATAGGCTGGAAAATTAAGAGCTAAGTTTCGTTACTGTTCACTTAAACAGCTAACCTGATGACTCGTCACGCTCGTATTGGCCCAATAAATATCACACTTAGCTGTTACAAAAAAAAAAAAGAAAAAAAAAACTATATATATAGATACATATATATAGAGATACACGGACAGAGAGAGAACAGAGAGAGAGAGAGAGAGGAGCGAGGGGTTTAGCTTTAAACATTAGCGTTAGGGTTTTGAATCTGAGAGGTTTTACAGAGAGAGAGAGAGAGAGAGATGGCAGATCATGAGGAGTCGGCGATGGAAAAGATAACTGAGAAGCTTCGCGGAGACGATTCGTCGTCGTCGTCGTCGTCAGATTCCGACGACGTGAATACATCGCCGGCGTCGTCTTTGAAGTCAAAGGTTTTCAGGCTCTTCGGGAGAGAGAAGCCCGTTCACAAGGTCCTTGGCGGTGGAAAACGTATGTTCATCATCATCGTAGTTCATTTCTATACTGTTTTTGGCTTTTTCTGTTTTTTTCTTTTTTGATAAGTTTGTGGCTTAAAAAGTTCGTTTCTCTACTGTTTTTGAAATTATGTAAATAATTAGTTTGATTTGTTTGTGCTCATATGATCGTCAAATTAGTGTCCTGGTTTCGAAATCCTAATTCTAAGTTTTATTGATTGTTTAGCAAAATTTAGTAGTAATTTTTCTTGTTTATGCTTGTTTTGTGAGGATCTAGATCTGGCTGGTCATTAGATCGGAGTTATGAATTGGTTATTTGTTTTTAGTAGTTTAATAACATGATTCTTAGTAATGTTGATGGGACTGGTTCTGAAAATATCGACTTTTTGCTTTATAAATTCAACGCCTTTTATAAGAAATTTCATAACACAACTTCATTCAAATTAATTTTAGGGTTGCTCCATGCCCTTTTGAACTAAAGGCTACCGTTAATTTTTCTATCCAAACTAATGGAAGGTCACACACCATTTTTGGGATTGTGCTTGGTTTTCTGGAAAATTAAAGTGAAATTAATACAAGAAAATATCTGTACCCCCATTTTCTCCAAATTAGATTAATATGTTAATTAAATAAAATAAAATATAATTAATAATTCATCTAAAATATAAAATATAATTAAGAATTGCTTAAAACATAATTAAATAATAATTAAGAATTGAACTAAACTATAATTAAATCAAAATTAGATTAACACGTTAGGAATTATAATACATAATTAAGAATTTAGGATTAATTGTGATCTAAAATATTAAATTAAAATTAGATTCAAAAGTTAGTAATTATAATAAATAATTAAATATTTAGGATTAACATAGGATTTGAGGGTATTATAGTCATTTTACATCAATAGTTAATGGTGTTAATATATGCACTTTGGTCCAGAATCATGTGAGAATTTTCTGGGTATACTTGAATCATAGGGGTAAAGTACTCCAATTTGGAGTTCCTAACATTTCTCTCTAAAATGTACGCTCACCATTGATCTGTTGGTGCAGCTGCTGATGTTTTTCTGTGGAGAAACAAGAAGATATCTGCTGGAGTCCTAGGTGGAGCCACTGCAATCTGGTGTCTATTTGAATTGGTTGAGTACCATCTGCTCACATTGGTTTGTCATGGCTTTATATTGGCTCTGGCTGTGTTATTCTTGTGGTCTAACGCTAGCACCTTCATGAAGAAGTAAGACATTGATGTTGCATTCAAATCATCTCCTTTTACAAATTGTAACTTGATTTTCTCCTTGCCAGGTCTCCTCCCCAGATTCCAGAAGTTCACATTCCAAAAGAGCCAGTTGTGCAGCTTGCCACTGCCCTTACAATTGAAATCAATAGGGCATTTGGAGTTCTTAGGGAGATTGCTTTAGGAAGAGATCTCAAACAATTTATCTGTGTATGTCGATTTCTCTCTTGTACTTGATTGAGTGCTCTACTTTTGGAACTGTCAAAACCCGTTATTGATGAGTATGGTAGATTGCAGTATGAACCTCCCTGTTTGCAAATTCTGAAATTTTCACGCCAAGATTACACCTAGTGGCCCTTAGTTATGAAGTTTTGTGGGTATGGAATGGTACAGGGTTTTAATATTGGCCATTACATCATGGGATTTTGGCCTTTTGATACAGTTACTCATTTTTGTCCGGTGTAGGTTGATAAATGACCTTATCACCGATACTAATACCAATACATATCCTAATATTGTTATTCAAAATGGTTATGTTGTTCATCAGGTGATTGCTGGCTTGTGGATCTTGTCATTTTTGGGGAGCTGTTGCAGCTTCTTGACTTTGTTTTACATAGGTAATCAATTACTACTATGTTAGTTGAAGCATTTGCTTGTTATTTGGTATTTTTATTTTTTACTTCGAATATTTATGATTTGGTGACAGCATTTGTTTTGCTCCACACGGTGCCGGTGCTGTATGAGAAATATGAGGATCAGGTAGATGCTTTTGCTGAGAAGGCAATGATTGAGATTAAGAGACAGTATGTAGTCTTTGATGCGAAGGTTTTATGTAAGATCCCGAAAGGACCATTGAAAGCCAAGAAGGTGTGAGAGCTTAGGGTGGCTGTGCTTGGTAACTCTGTTTAGGGTTTTGGGTTCACAATGTGGATAATTACTGATAGTTTTCTATAAAGTTGAATTTGCTAAGTTCGTGCGCAGCATTTGGGGGTTTCTGTTTTAGGCCCTGAAGTTATTATATAGTATTTCATGTGGATTCGTGCCTTGCCCGTTGGGTTTTATAAAATATTTTGATTCCATTGATGTTTTAGTGCTGCAGATGTTTTACACATTTGTTCTTTGACAGGGTTTTCTTTTTTCTTTTTTTTCTTTTTTTTTTTTTGAATAAAATGGAATTGCGTAAATTATGATAATGAGGTATTTGTAATTTTTTAAAATCACATAAAAGAATCTATACTTTAAGTAAATCTCAAAGAGTGTATTGTGATTTATCTTGGGTAATTTACATTTTCCCCCCTTCACTAATTAAAGTTTTTCTAATTTACTCCTAAAATTAACTTGTGTTCACAAAAATTTGACTGAAAATGTCACATTAATTACCATATTACATAAAAATATATTATTATATTGAATTTTAGATTTGTGTTAGAAGTGTGAGTTATAATAAATTATTTTTATACATTGTGGTTATCAATGTGTTATTTTTTTTATCTAATTTTAGACATCTCAAAATATAAAGAATCAAAATGAAAAAAAATAGAACTTTAAAGACCAATCATAAAGGGGGCAATTTTTTTTTTCTTTTCTTCTTAGACTGTGTTTGGCATCCTCTTCTTGGGCTAAAATAGTTATAAAAAGACAAAATAAACTTTTTAATTTAATAAGACAAAACATTAAATTCAAGCTATAATTATTTTATTTTCTTTTTCACAAAAGTTAAAAAAATTAAAAAATTTATTTCAAACAAGACTTTTAACACTAAATTAAAAAAATTAAAAAGTTAAAAATTAACACAGATCCCAAAGGAAGGCGTAGTAAAAAAGTTGAGTGGCGACAGTGACTCTAAAAAGCTGAAATCAGAACGGAGGAAATAGAACGAGAATTGGGGTCCTTGCATTGGAACGAGGATCCTCTCCTTGCAGCTCTTGTACTTGCGCCCGTCTTTGCAGGTTTTCGGGTCTACTTTTAGGCTCAATTTTGATAATCCGAACCGTTCATATTTTATGATTTATTCAGTATATCATACCTGTAAAAAATCAAGTTGATCGGATATCAGAAAGTATGTGTTCAAAAAATTGAACTAAAAACTATTTTTTAAAGAATTTAATAAACAGTTTTCCGAACATAGCTTTCTGATATCCGATCAACTTGATTTTTTACAGGTATGATATACTGAATAAATCATAAAATATGAACGGTTCGGATTATCAAAATTGAGCCTAAAAGTAGACCCGAAAACCTGCAAAGACGGGCGCAAGTACAAGAGCTGCAAGGAGAGGATCCTCGTTCCAATGCAAGGACCCCAATTCTCGTTCTATTTCCTCCGTTCTGATTTCAGCTTTTTAGAGTCACTGTCGCCACTCAACTTTTTTACTACGCCTTCCTTTGGGATCTGTGTTAATTTTTAACTTTTTAATTTTTTTAATTTAGTGTTAAAAGTCTTGTTTGAAATAAATTTTTTAATTTTTTTAACTTTTGTGAAAAAGAAAATAAAATAATTATAGCTTGAATTTAATGTTTTGTCTTATTAAATTAAAAAGTTTATTTTGTCTTTTTATAACTATTTTAGCCCAAGAAGAGGATGCCAAACACAGTCTAAGAAGAAAAGAAAAAAAAAATTGCCCCCTTTATGATTGGTCTTTAAAGTTCTATTTTTTTTCATTTTGATTCTTTATATTTTGAGATGTCTAAAATTAGATAAAAAAAATAACACATTGATAACCACAATGTATAAAAATAATTTATTATAACTCACACTTCTAACACAAATCTAAAATTCAATATAATAATATATTTTTATGTAATATGGTAATTAATGTGACATTTTCAGTCAAATTTTTGTGAACACAAGTTAATTTTAGGAGTAAATTAGAAAAACTTTAATTAGTGAAGGGGGGAAAATGTAAATTACCCAAGATAAATCACAATACACTCTTTGAGATTTACTTAAAGTATAGATTCTTTTATGTGATTTTAAAAAATTACAAATACCTCATTATCATAATTTTTTATTTCATTGAATTAACTAAAAAAAATAAAATTTCTAATTGTCCTACTATATAATGATTAAAGTACCTGAATTATTAATTAAAATATTCTTCTAACATAATTAAAAATTATTAATTGACTTGATAATTTATTGATAAAATGGGCCATTTGTTATAAAATTAAAAACTTCAAGGGACGAGATGAAATTTTCAATATCACAGGGAGCAAATTGTATTTTAAACAAATGGAGACTTACGTGTAGGTCCTAATAGGTGAACTTATTATCCAATAGGTCCTATGATAATTAATTGAGTTTTTCGTCAAATACTATTAAAAAATGATACTATTTTTAATTTTCAATGATAATTTAAAAATTGTCATAAAAAATATCACTAATTATAAATTTTAGCGATAGTATAAAAAAATCAATTACAAAAAAATTATTAATTTTTAACTTTCAGCGATAGTTTAAAAAACTCATCACAAAAAACGTTACTAATTATAAGTTTTAGCAACAATTTACAAAAACCGTGATAAAAAAAGTTACTAATTGTTAAATTTTAGTGACGTGCAAAAAAATGTCATAATTTTTTTTTTTAACAACAACTTTATTAGAACTTATTTATAATATTATTTTTCTAAGGTGGCGCTGTTTGGGAAGCTGCCAACGGGACTATTATAGCCTCATTTGGTAAATAAGCCAAAAAGTGGCACTGTTCACAAGTTTTTTTTTTTAAAAAAAAAAAAAAATAGGTACTGCGCTGGACAGTGTAGGTTGTCACAGCCGAAAAAAGTGACACTTCAATGGAAAAATTACCATTTTGCCCCTTTATATCAATTTTAAAAAATAAAAAGTTAGGGACAAATCTGTCATTTTAAATTTAAACATCATTTCAACACATTTTTCAATACAATAACCCAACTAAAAAATCATCTTATCTTCCCAAACACAAAAACTAAAATAGCTACTAAAATAGTCAAAAAATTAAATAGCCTACTAAAATAGCCACTTCCCAAACGAGGCCAATAAGTTTTTTTCAACACAATCTAAAGAAAACAATACTGTGCTAAAGCTACGCTAAAAACTTAGATAGGATTCAGAGAGCTGTGTTTTTAATTTTCCAAAAGGAAATTACCCGGCAAAAAGGTACAAATAGATAACAAGTGGCCATCATTCCTAGAAATTCTAACCAAAATATTAGGCTGTGTTTGACAAGTGAGTTTGCAGGCTTTTTTGGTTATTTTAGTCACAAAAAACAAAATAGGCTATTTTAGCCATAACAAACAAAACATCACATCCAATCCATAATCATTACATTCTTCTCTCACAAAAAAATTCAAAAAAGCCAAAAAGTCAAAAAGCCCTTCCCAAACCAAGCTTTTAAGCCCAGGCTAAAATAGCAAAAAAAGTCAAAAAGCCAAAAAGTCAACCCACTTCCCAAACGGAGGCTAGATGAGCAAAGGCAAGTCCAATGGAGGCACTAGATTCACTAAATATAAGAAATTGCATTTTTACAGAAGTCATCTTTAATGTATAAATATCACAAAATAGTTAACTTTTGTGAAAAAGAAAATAAAATAATCCTGACCTGTTTATCAACAAAATACAGTAGCCGAGGCATCACAATAGTGGCACAAATGATCTCCTTTGGCCACAATCGCAATGCTCTCTGTTTTCATGCCTCCAGTAGAATGAAAGAAGAAATTAAGCAGCAGATTGATTCACTGAATAGCCCATTGCATGTGCTGCTTTGACAGATCTGGTGTTTTATGAATGTATGACCAACCGACTTTTGATTGGTATGCAAAGAGTAAAGCAAGAATTCTATTTCATCAAATCCAAGAAAACAAAGCCATTCCAAAGACTGTGCAAGAGCATAGATGGCAATAGGTTCCTTGAGCGTGCAAAAATTACACCCATCACCACGCCAAGAAAAATAAGAGGTAGAATCCTCTGTAAATTGAAATGTGCTAGAGCAAAGGCAACTGAACTCACAAGGATTGAACACCATACAGGCATGTACTTGGTCAAGGATGGGAGAAGAAAACCCCGGAAAACAATTTCCTCCCACACTGGAGCGCACACTGAAACCACGAGTGCATACAAAGACATTGCGATTGGATCACGTGCTACAATTGACTGCTCAACGTTCGAGAGTGTGACAGGTGTTGAAGGCAGAAGAGGCAATAAGTCAAGGTTGAACTTTGAGAGCCGGTTGACCAAAGGAAACATGAGGCACCCAAGAGCAACATCAAACAGCCAATTCCCTCTCAGGCTAAATTTAAACCAATCAGATGGAAGGGGACAAAAGCGAGACAGGCAACGATGAAGAATTGCGATTCCGGCAAGGCCTTCGGTTACATCGGTCAAAAGGCTGTACAAGGCCTGCCCTCTGTATGTTAGAGATTCCTTGCTGAAACCCGCTATGTGAGCTCCGAATGGAATCATCCAAGAGCCCACGAACCAGAATGCGACAATCCAAAGGAGTGTCACCTGCATCGTCATAATTATGCATGCCTGTCATTATCCTTCTGTGATTGATTTCTTCTAGCGATCAAAAGGCACTGAGTAGGAAGGATATCAGTTTGAGTAGTTCAAAACTCAAAAAAGATTTTAGGTTATTCTGTCATTGTCCACCATTTACTAAGCGTATAAAAAAGGGAACAATAAGTTCTAGAAAGTTCATGTAAATTCATCAAATAAAATTAAAAAAAAAATTAAAAAAAAAAATCATTCTGGCTATATCCTCAAAAAACCTAGTTTCTAATTATCTAATGAACAAAAAAGAATTCGGGGAACAAGTACCTAGTGGGGACATCCGGTTTCGTGGGAGTGCAACTGTCATAAAATACAGAGCACAAGCTAAAAAGAGAAAATAAAATTACTCCAGATAAAAGACAGAACAGAATTATATGTAGTCTTGAGAAACTGAAGATATTATTGGTGGATGGAAATAAGGAAAGTCATCAAGAAAGTTTGCTACGTGCAATGATGACCAATGAATGCACCACTGACAAAGTGCTATTGATTAAGTTAAAAATGTGATCTTGTGATTTTAATGTACAAATTACCCTTGATAAAGATGACATAAGACAAAGAACTTGTGTGGTGTTCCCCAAGTTATTTAGGTATTATGGCATTTCTGAGTTTGAGTGGAGTACATGATATCTCAAAATAGGAAGTAAAGAGAAATCCTTCATCAACAGCAATGAATAAAAAGTTCTCATATCTTTAAATCTCCTAAGCTTACTTCCGTGTTTCTCTTTGCCACGTCATTGAAGGTAAATAACATGACGAGATCTTATTATTCATTATAAAGTCCCCTAAATATCTCACCATAAAATGTTTATCAAGGAAATAGCAGTTTACCTGTAGTATAGTCTCAGCTGTCCATGGCACGGTCCAGGGCTTCCCAATTGCTCTAAATACTGCATCTGCAGCCTGAAACATTAGAAAGCCCGTGGGTGAACACGATGACAGAAACTACTAGTTCCTCTATCTGTTTGAAAATTTATATCTCAGGCATAGTATCTACATTCAGCATTCATAATATATTCATAAATGGAGGCACAAAAAGAAAGTTGGAAGCCTTCAAGGTTTTGAAGTTAAAATAAATGCTCAAGGATTTCAATTTTCCATTTTCTTTTACTTCATCTTGTGGTAACACATAAAAAGTATATGTGATCAACACAATGTACATATTCCAATGTCAAGCCCTACCTTCTTTATTGTTTTATGTTAGCCACATGTCTAATTAATTAATTACATGCATAATTTTCACATGAGGTATAATATATGATCATATAAAATTGATCCATTCGACTGACTTGCTGAATACAAATGCTAGGGAGAAGGCATTAGCATTAACCATGGTTGGGATACAACATTGCTTTTGAGTAAACTGTATATAAAGTCATACTTTTAAGACTAACAGAAACTCGAACAATGGGTATGTAAGAGGAGCTAATTTAAGCCCACTAAATTATTTAGGCCCAATACCAGATTAGTGGGCGCGCTGAACGAATTTATCTGACATGACAGCGAAGTCCAAATATGGTGGCTTGGATTATCAGAATTAAATTTAGCTCAGGCAATCCTTATTAGTTTCATTAGCCATTAAGCGCGCCCGAAGTTTTAGCTTCAAACCGGGGATCTTTCTTAGCCTCGCCAAGAAAGAGGAATAATACGAGGTATTGTAAGCTTGAACAATAGTTAACATTTTTACCTTACGCCTTCATTTGGTTTAATGGTTTTCTAAGACTCGTGAAAATGCACGATATCTCAGGTTGCTACAATTCCACAAGGTTCCAAAAGGAATGGAATCTGGAAATTCCGCCTTAATTTTCATCGTATTTCGCAATTTCCTTTCTCTAACGGTTCTCTCTTTTATTGTAGGTAAACAGAGTTAGTTAAGTCATCGGGTCTTAAGAGGCCAAGTTTTCACGCAAAACTAATCTTGATTAGCCCTCCAAAGAAAGAGAGTTTACGGAGTAACCTGTAGCTCAAGATATTAGTTTACCTTAACAACTCATTTCATGTTTCTAAATCGGCCTAAAAGTGGTAGTTCCAAAGCCCAAACGGACGAATTTGATTCCCTGTTAATTTTCATCCCAATACCCCTTCATTTCCCTACGCTTTCTCTTTTTCCTCTTGCCTCTCTCCGTCCTTCTCCTATACCTCTCCCTTGTTGCTCTAAAGGAACTAATTAGCTAAGGCAACTATTATATCATTACGCTTAGGTGGCCAAGTTTAGCTCAACAAACTAATCTTTCTTTAGCCCTCTCAAGAAATAGAAGAGATACAGAGGATAATGAGGCTATACGATATTTTACTCGTGTAACCTAAATCCAAACTCCTTAATGCGTTTCTAAATCAACCTTATGTGCATCAATTCCCAAGTCCAAAATGACGAATCTGAAATCCGCCTTACTTTCACAATCGATTCTCATTTCCCCTTCTCTAACTTTCTCCTTTACCACTCATGGAAGAAGAAGATAATCGCATCTGGCTCTGGCTTCTCTCCCGTCCGTCCATAGCTAGAACATTCTCGACGAATTATCTCCCTTTTTATTGTAGGAACAAATTAGCTTAGTCGTTATCTAGAGGCCAAGCTTCAACGCACAACTTAGTATTCAGTTAAGCCTACAAGACTGAGAATTTACGGGGTAATTGTAGCTTAACGGATAATTAAGTTTTAACTTAAAGCACTCATTTCCATGTTTTCTAAATCACCTAAGTTTCAGTTCTCAAGTCCCAACGGAGAATTTGAAATTTCCTTTAATTTTCTTCCTAATGTCCCTATCGTCATCTCTACTTCCTGTTTTTTTCCCTAACTCTCTCCTCCTTGCTTCCAACCTTCCTCTCCTTTTTCTTCTAACAAACCAATAGCATAGGCAACTTCAGTATCAATTGGCTTAGTGGCTGAGTTTAAACCCTCCAAGCTAATCTTTCTAGCCCTCCAAAGCAAAGAGAATATACGGAGCAATGGTAGCACTTAACGAATTATCCTTTACCTTAGCAACTCATTTAAATGTTGTCCTAAAAATCACTAAGTGTTCAATTCTCAGGTTCCAAAAAAGTGAAATTTCAAATTCGCAATCATATTTCCCTTTCTTTGCCCGAGACTTTCACTCCACCACCGAATGGAGAGAAAAGATTTCTCTAACCCCCCTTCCGTCCTTCTAGAGCCTTCGCTGCACTTATTAATTACAGAACTAATTAGCTTAGGCAGCGCTATCGTTTCATGGCTTAAGAAGGCCAAGTTCTACTCAACTAATCTTGCTTAGGCTCCAAAGAAAGGTATTTACGGAAAAAATCGTGCTTATCGTTAATAGTTTTAACATAAGCAGCTCGTTCCATGTTATCCGTAAATCACCTAAGTGTCAATTCTCATATCCAATCGATGAATTCAAAATTCTCTGTAAGTTTCATTCTATACCTCCCTTTCCCCAAACTATCTCTTCTAAAGTTCTCAGGAAGAAAGTTTCCTCTCCTGTAACTCTCCTCCGCCCCGCTCTCTTTTTTTCTAAGAACAAATTAGTCTAGGCAACGAACAGTTTCGCTAGCTTAAGTGGCCAAGTTTAACGTCGGAACTAATCTTGCTAAGCCTCCAGAAAAGAGATTTTTTACTTTAGTGATTGTGCAACCGTATTAGTCTAACTTAAGAATCTCATTTAAAGTTTTCTGAATCCCTAAGTGTTCAATTCTCAAGTCCAAGAGAGACTGGAATTCCCTTTATTCCCCTTTCCTTTTCTCTAACTTTCTCCTACCATCAAGAAGAAAGTTTTCCTCTAACTCTCTCGTCCTTCCCTGACTCTCCAATTTTTTGGCCCCTAGAATTAATTCTAGCTCAGGCCAACTATTATTTTTCATATAGCCTAAAGCCGGCCAAGTTTAGCCTGTCAAACCGATCTTTCTTAGCCTCCAAAAAGAGATATACGAAGTAATTGTAGCTTAACAATTATTACTTTACCTAAGCAACTCATTTAGTTTTCTAAAATCACCTAAGTGCTCAAATTCCAAGTCCAAAAAGATAATCTGAATCGCCTTAATTTTTTCATCGTTTTCCCATTTCCTTTCTCTAACGTTCTCTCTTTTATTGAGGAACAGTTAGTCTTAGTCATCGTCTTAAGTACCAAGTTTCAACGCAAACTAATCTTGATTGCCTCCAAGAAAGAGAGTTACGGAGTTAATGTAGCTCAAGCGATATTAGTTTACCCTTACAACTCATTTCATGTTTTCTAAAATCGCCTAAGTGGTCAGTTCTCAGCCCCAAACGGACGAATTTTGAATTCCTGTTAATTTCATCACATCCCCTTCATTTCCCTAGCTCCTTTCCTCTGCTCTCTCCGTCTTCTCTAACCTTCCCCTTTTTGCTCTAGGAACTAACATTAGCCTTAGGCAACTATTAAGTATCACCTAGCTTAGGTGGCCAAGTTTAAGCTCAAACTAAATCTTTCTAGCCTCCAAAGAAATAGACATAAACCGGAGTAATTGTAGCTTAACGATACTACTTTTCCTAAAGCAACTCGTTTATGTTCTAAATCACCTATGTGCTCAATTCCCAAGTCCAAAAAGATGATATCGAATCCCCGGCCTTACTTTCATCGTTTTTCCATTTCCTTTATCTAACTTTCTCCCTTTACCACTCCAGGAAGAAAGATTCGCTCTGGCTCTGCTCTCTCGCGTCCGTCCATCTAGAACGTTCTCTCTTTTATTGTAGGAAAAATAGCTTAGTCGTTAATCTTAAGAGCCAGCTTCACGCAAACTAGTCTTGATTAGCTACAAGACTGAGAATTTAACGGGTAAATTGTAGCTAAACGATATTAGTTTAACTTAAAAGCAACTCATTTCATGTTTTCTAAATCACCCTAAGTGTTCAGTTCTCAAGTCCAAAACGGATGAATTTGAAATTTCCTTTAATTTCTTCCTAGATTCCCTATCGTCTCTCTAACTTCCTGTTTTTTTCCCTAACTCTCTCCGTCCTCCTCCAACCTTCTTCTTTTCTTCTACAAACCAATTAGCATAGGCAACTATCAAGTATCATGGCTTAGGTGCTTGAGTTTACCTCCACTAATCTTTCCTTTAGCCTCCAAGAAAGAGAATAATACGGAGCAATGGTAAGCTAACGATATTACCCTTTAACCTTAGCAACTCATTTAATGTTTCCTAAATCACCTAAGTGTTCAATTCCTCAGGTCCAAAAAAGTTGAATTTCAATTCCGCATCATATTCCCTTTTCTTTGCCCGACTTTCCCCTTCCACCACCCAATGAAGAAAAATTTTTCTTCTAAAACCCCCTCCGTCCCTAGACCTTCGCTCTTTTATTACAGAAACTAAGATTAGCTTAGGTAGCTATCAGTTTCATTGGCTTAGAGGCCAAGTTTTTCACTCAAAACTAATCTTGCTTAGAGGCTTCCAAGAAAGGTAATTTACGGGAAAATCTAGCTTTATCGTTAATAGTTTAACTTAAGCACTCGTTCCATGTTATCTAAATCACCTAAGTGTTCAATTCTCATATCCAATATCGAGAATTCAATTCTCTTGTAAGTTTCATTCTATACCTCCCTTTTCCCAACTAATCCTTCTAGTTCTCAGGAAGAAATTTCTCTCTGTAAACTCTCTCCCGCCCCGCCTCTTTTTTCTAGGAACAAATTAGCTTAGGCAACGAAACAGTTTCGCTAAAAAAAAAAAAAGCTTAAAGTGGCAAGTTTAACTCGAACTAAACTTGCTCTAAGCCTCCAGAAAAGAGATTTTGACTAGTGATTGTGCAAAAACCGAATTAGTCTATACTTAGTCTCAATCTAAAGTTTCTGAATCACCTAAGTGTTAATTCTCAATCCAAGAGGATGTAACTGGAATTCCCTTTAATTCCCTTCTTTTCTCTACTTTCTCCTCCTAACCACTCAAGAAGAAAGTTTTCCCTCTAACTCTCTCCGTCC